CAATCAATAAATGAAATGAATGAGTAAGAATTACTTCTACTAAAAGAGAAGCTTTAAATGCAGCAAAGGCTAAATTAAGTGCAAAGTGGAGTGAATTAGCTGAAGTTAAATGCTGAAAAAGGTAAAATTAATACTGAAAAAGAAGCAATAGAAGACTCAAGAGATAAAGCTGAAAAAGGTAGAGTAAGTGGTTTAATCACTCAAGTTAGAACACTGTGAGATAAACCAGGAATGAGAAGTTATCAAGAGTTGTTATTTATGTGCAATATTTTGGGTTGGATTAAAAAGTGAGAAGTTTTAAAAACTGATGCTACTTTTGACCCTGCTGTTGAATTAGCCAAATTAGATGCAGCTGAAACTGATAATCAAGGTAAATTAGCTAAATATAATCACTGAGTAGGACATGGTACTCACTTTACTGAACAGTTAGATAATTGAAAAAATGATGATGGTAAATACTTTAATGAAGAAGCAGTAAAGAGATATTTACAAAGTATAAAAGATGCTTTAGAATCAGTGGGACGGGGTTTAGATCCAGTAGAACAAAATGAGTTAGATCAACTCACTCACTATATTGAGAATGGTGAAGTTCCCATAGAAGAGAGAATTCTGCCCATGGATCTTAAAGCTGCTCTAGGAACGAAAATTAATGTGTTTAGTTCTTTAGTCCAAAAATAGATCAAATATTCTCAAAACTTGATTTTAAAGTCAGGGCAAACAACATTAAAGAACTGGCAGACAAAGTCAATAAATCAGGAGCTAAAGTTAAACCAAGTGAAATAGTTAAATACTGTAAAGAAACTCTTTCTAAAAAACTTGAATTAGTGGAAGATAATGATATTTGTGATCTTCCAGATGTTAAGGATAAAGATCATGATTGATTAGATTGATTCTTTACTCAAGATCCGGAAGTAGTAGTGGGAACCATTGCTTTACAAGAATTAAAAGTCGATAGTAGTCTCAAAGAAAGCATCTTAGTGGAGATGAAAGATTATAAAGATAGTAAAGATAAGTTAATCTTGTTAGATTGCACCATTTATGGAGATGGAGAAAACTTTACTGAAGCAGGAATTATTAAATACTATAGTGAAAAGTTGGGCAGACAAAATCATGCTATAAAGAAGTATGAAAAGCCCTTTAAGGATCAGCAACAACCAGAACCTTCTGAACTTGGAAGAATCCTGCTGCAATCTTATCAGGACTAGCTTTACTAAGCTTAGTGGGAGGACTAGGTTGAGCCTTTCTACAGAGGAAAAAGATTGCCACTTGATGAAATCAACCTGCTGAAGCTGAAGGGGATAAATTTGATGGGGAAGAGGATGAGTGATAGATGAATTTGCTGGAAACACAAAAAAAGGTGTTCTAATAATGGTTTGATTGTTTATTCAGTTTTCTTTTCTTTCTTGGTTCATCATGTGTTGATGTTAATGCTCATTTATTATTTATTATTTTTCTTTCTTCTTGATAAATTTCATAAGTGATTTTTTCTTGATCTAAATATTCCTGGAGAGTTTGGGTATCATTGATTTTAAAATTGTAAGGTGCAATTTTTTCTCCTTGAGCTTTCTTTAGAATGCTTCAAATAGTGCTATAATTCTTGGGTTCCGTGGTGGATTTAATGTAAATTTGTTTCATATTAATATTTTTTTATACAGGGATAATCCTATATTAATCCTGTTATGGTTTATATTCCTTATATTCTGGTATGATAAAGTGAACATTAAAATTAACAAGTCCATAACTAATGAATGAGCACTAAATTACTTTCAAAACGTCATTAGTCACACTCATAATCAGCCTCTCATTTATGTCACATAATCAAATGTTCACTTTGTCTGGTTTTGTTGCAGTCTGCCCCATTTAATAGCTTAAACATAGTAATAGTAATAGTGCAAAGCCATAAAGAATAGTAAAATTTACTCCTTAATATTAAATTTGTTCCAGCTTGTAAAACTGTCTACAAATATAGACAGCATAGCTTGTTCAGATATGTAGCTAATATTGAGAATCATACTGAATAGAGTTAGCTAGGAATTGTTATGCTTTCACATTCTGCAAATCACTAATTTTTGTCTAACCAATGAAGAATACAGTAACATATGTGAATAATATCTAATAATATTTTTGCAAGCCAGTCATAGGACATAGTTTACGTTTTGCATAATTTATTAACTTAGAAGTGTAATTTCATCTTCGAAAAAAGTACTAGTATGTTTAAATTTTTTATTTGAATACTTCATTGGTCAATCAAGTCTAAAATTAAGACTCTGACTTTTACGATTATCCATCTTATAAAAGATTTAGGTTAGGTTTGAAGTTTATTGGTTTGATCTGATAATCAGTTATTCGAATTACCTTGCATGTTTCTTATGTAAGGTAACTGAAAGACTAAGCTTTATTTGAATCAACTTCTTGACTAGGTATTGTGGTGTGGGGACTAATGTTAATTATGACGTCTATTCCTCCGCGTAACTTCGCTGGTGTTACAAAAATATTCGATCTGGCAGTGATACTAAACGCAGCAGCAGGAGCAGCAATAGCAGCGTATACTGATAATAATAAATAATAATATAGTAATAGTAAATAATTAATAATCAGCATGCTAAAATTAGATTAGTTAGTCCTTTCGAAAGATATAAATAAAAGCAAGCGTAAATTCAGTTCGAGTGTTCAGGTGTTCTAAATAGTTTTTTATACTCTGAAATACATTATTAATGATTTATTCCCTGGTAAATTATCGGTATAGTTATGATAGAGAACCGTGACTTTACTCGAGGACAGGTTAACTATCGAGGATTAGACGCCGTGAGTCAAAAGGTTACTATATTTAACTAATGTAGGAGAACCATAGGATAGTTAAATGACTCTCCCGAGATTGTTGGCTCAACAGTGGCATGCACAGTATTTTTTAGATACCAATGCTTTATTATTCTCTTCCATATTGACAAAAGGTAATAAGAAATAATATAAAATAATGCATGTCGGTCTTTGATGCATGTTCGTTCAGAAACCTAATATCAGAACAATGTGTCAGATCAAAACTTTAGCACGTTCTGCATAGACAATTATGGTTAAAAGTCTGTTGACATCAGGAACAAATAACATCAACGAGAACAGCCCGACCATGTTTCACATCAATTATCTCAAGAAGATATCCAATCAACAACAACGCGTAAAGCACATGATATTAGAAGAATCAACATTACACATTTGATAAGATAATTGATATCCCACAAAAAAAGTAGTTACAACATCCCTTTTTTAACTCTTACAAAGGCTTGTCATACCTGCAATTGTAATCTTATAAACAAGATTATTTAACAATTGGGTATACGTTGTCGGCGAGCTTTTCTCTGCATTCTCTTATAACCCGACCGTATGCGAAAATTTGTACTAAATTGAGAGCAAAAGATGAAGGAAAGAATGCATTTTTTGTTTTGATATCGTAGAAAGGAATCGATGACGTAGATTAATTCGTTGCACATCGGAGGTAATTGTCCGACAAAATTCCGATTGTCAATGATTGGTGGAGTATACCGAAGCGCAGACATTTCATTATTGGTTAACGTTATGCGACCGGGTGAGTTTGGGCGTTGAAAGAAACACACAAATATAAAATACATGTCTTCATATACTTGTATAGGACGCACGAAATTGGGGTTCCCATTTTTAGTGTGGTATTTCCTATCGATATTGTCTACGACGGTTGTCATTAGTCGCTGGACAGTTAGGCACCGTCGATTATGCAAGAGGGTGCTTTAGTATTTGTTTATTACAAATCTTTGGATGTCATAATGAAAATGAATTAAGCAAGGGTGAGAGCATGGTCCAATCGAGTGGGTTCCATACTGCTCATTCTTGCAGAAAGGTATGTAATACGATGCGGTGCGACTAGATATCGAATATCTGTAACCACACCTTCATTATCACGCAAGTGTGCTATGAGTGGTTAGCTGTTTAATATGCTGCACAACAAGCAGCGCTTGAAGGTGTCTTGTTTGTCTTTGATAGTGTTTGTTTATTCTGTTGGACGTACCCTCGCAACGAAGCAAACATCCACGCCACCGTGTATCGGTCCCAGTGCTTGCAATAGATGAATAGATGGAATATGGCGAGAAAAGGATAAACTAGCATGGTTTATTTGTATAGCGACTTTTATTGTTATTTTTAATGAACTAATCATAGGCACAACAATAGTCGTAACAATAATCATAATGATAATCAATAATGATAATAACAATAATGAAATTAGGAAACCTCGAACCATAAATTGCATAAAGTTAAGCCACAAATAAAGCATAAATATGTCCACAGTTCATGTGCTATTCTTCCAATACTTGTTCACATTCACCACAATTGGTACAAAGTTGTTGAGTGCCCTTACCTATTATCCACGAGCTCATTTATATCACAAACATACCAAAAAAGTTAACCCACGCAGCTATATTTATCAATCGATCTGCACAACTGATGCTGCTTGCCATACAAAGAACCCACATTATCACACGGATAATACCCAACTAGGAATACCAGGTACTATAGAAGAATAGCCAAAGGTTTAGATGTAGGAAACAGAAGAGGAGGAAACAGGCAAACAGGAAGAAGCGAAGGAAGAATATACTTGCCAAATTGCTCAATGAATCTTATTTGCATTCTAACCTCCCAGCTATCACATTCTGATCACTCTAATACGTCGCACAAACCTCACGTCACATCTCTTCTCCAATAAAATCTGGTCTATTCTTTATATAAACATTCACGCAAACATGAACACAACTCTACGTTTAGCTCCTGTCTTCCCCCTTCCCTCCCCCGCGAACATCCGTCCACGCCGTTCCCTCCATTCCCTTCTTTCAGTACACCACAATAGCCACCACCACATTCCTTCTTTTCGTCTTTAGGTGATTCATGAAATATGGCAACTCAAACTCAGCCAAAAGTTGACGTCTCGTTCCAACAACCGACAAAGTTACCTATTCCAAGGCTTCAAAACGCGGGCAATACTATGGTGTCTGCTCAGAAGAGTACGGCCGAGATGTTACTTTCCTCCGGGTGGTCTACTACTACGCCGCTCTTACCCACCCTGGCTGTCATACCTCGTAAGTAATGAAGATGGCATTACTGTCGTGCGAGAGTGTTATTTTATGAACTTTAGATTTTCGGAGCATGTAATTAAACGATACAAATCTTCTGATTTGTTTATCATCAATAGAAAACCCTCTCTCCAACACAATCGGCAAACCAGTGCCAAACAAACGGGGACGCAAGCCATTAACGGCTATGCCATCAACGGTACTTTAATTTGACTTGCCTCTGAATCGATTCCGATAATTAACCTAGTCGCGTTTAAATGTTTGGGTGACATTTATACCACTTGTTATATATTCTTTCGGTTACTGTCGAATTTCTTGCATAAATAGTCTTTAATCAATTCATACATAAATTCAGTTTCATGGATTTTTATAACGTGGTGCCTAGCCCCATTAAATTAGTATTATTTTTTAATCCTGCTACTCTTCTAATTATTGTTCTCGTTCAAACAGAAAAAGCACATGCAAAACTTGACCAATCAACGTGCTTTCCGTCAACGTCGAGAGAACTATATTCGCAGTTTGGAGAACAAAGCAGCCACGCTAGAGATTCTCTACGCACAAGCGCGGGAGGAAATCAAATCTTTGAAGGACCAACTGGCGTCGTTTGGAAAGCAACGTTTGAACGGAGGTGATGCATCAATCTGCGCTAATGGACTCAGTGCAGAAACCATGGACACGCAATTCGCACGGAAACTGTGCTCGAAGCCGCTTGATTCTTGCTGCGGTGTTGACAGATCGATGTATACAGTTACCGACATGGAGAACCATGACCTGTCGGGCAGTCAACTGTTTGGTGCCAACACAGACAACCAGCAGAAGAACGGCCTTTCGTGTGATGTTGTTATGGGTGACTCGTTAAATACAGCAGCAGATGCTTCCGATGTAAGTAACTAAGTAAATTTATTGCTGAATATTTACCTGAATGATTGGTTTGCTAAATATTTTGCCAATAAATTATTCAATAATAAACAGATAATTACTTTGTATCAATAGACTTTCAATGCTAACATGTCTTCTCCCCCTTCTCTAACCCAATCTACCTAGCAACATAAACGAGATCAACAATCTCCGTCACATCTCCAATCACAGCAAGATGCCTTAAATGACAGCTTTCTACTGAACCCAATGTTTTGCGAACCCAAAACTGGCGAGCTTTGTTATTGTGACCCTGAATCTGTCACGGACACAGACACCTTCTTAAAGGCTCCACAAATCGCTAAATGCTACGTCGATGAAGCGACAGGCAAACGCATGTGGATCATCCCGAAAGACGTTCTAACGCCTCCTTTTGCCACTCCAGATTCATCCTCTCAGTACTATTCAACTTCATACACTTTACCATCGCCTGATGAACCAGAGCCTCATTGGCTACAACAGCAGCAATATTACAATAGCGCTCCACCGCCCACACCTCCTTCTAATGGGTACAGCAACGGACAATTAGAGCTGAAATGGATGATGGAAGATAGTCAGAGAGGAGAGGGCCAGACCTGTGGCGGGACGGTATAGCGTTTGCATGAAGAATCGATGTTTTCTTGATTGTTAAATATGGTTTTCTTATTTGACATCTTTATAGATGATGTTCCATATTTTCTATTGATGGCTTCTATTTCATCACTATAAATATTCTTTCCCCTTCTTTTAAACTTCCTTCTTGTGAATAGCCGAACATTATAGACAGGATTATTTTGGAATTTTATACAAGCACATTTGCGTATATATATATTTAACAGGGTGAGGGCAATGGAGGGACTTTTACATAGACGGCGTCAATTATATAGTACCTTCTTTCTTTTCAAATCCGGGCGGATATTTCGACACAAAGCAATCCTTTGTAACACAGATTTGCTTTTTACGACTTTTCGTTTAACACTTCCTTCCTTTAACTTGAGACCTTGGGCGTGTGCTATCCCTTGTAGTCATTACTGATTAATCCTAGTTTTCTTTTTTCTCACGACTCACGACTCTCACAACATCATTTCCTTCTTTCCGTTTATTCACACAACATCCACACTACACACCCTTACAATGATCAGTATTTCAGACAGTATTATCACATTCTGTTTGTTCTTGTATATGAGATACAGGACTAACATAAAACCACACGACCTCGGGGTTTTATAGATGGACTAGTAGAACTATACATAACAGAGCTTCTTGTATATGAGGATGTCCTCTTGAACTTTCTTTTCTTGATGCTCCTTGCTAGTAAATCTGAACTTTTTCTAACAATCAAATATCCACTCAGTAACCAATTAATTTGGACATTTGTTTATAACTGTAATTTCACTTTCCTCCCTCTTTTGACCTTCACAAATCAATGGTAAATATTCACTCATTTTGCATCTCCCAAGTATATATATTATATTCAACTATATATAAATATAAATACAATCCTTTTCCAAACCAAGGTTTGAGTTCTGTTGCTCGTGGAGAATTATTGCATACTCGTTTTCAGTATCTGGCCAATGATTATTGCATTTTAAATCTATGTAGGAGCAAAGTTGCAAACTTATGGTCAAGGATAAAGTTTACTTTTGTTCTACAAGCAAAGCAAAATGGAAACCAGTTAGATTGTTTTTTTAATTAGTCTTGCAAGCCCAATATACATATCAGGGATTTTGCTTAACCCGATCATGGTGTCGATAAATTAGGTGTCGCAGATTTGATTGTTATCTTGTATTCGATATTTTTATCAAGCAAGATCGAGTGTAATCCTCACAAAAGAACTTGTATTTAGGGGGCATCCTAATACCGACCGAGTGAAACTGTTATGTCACACATTATATTTTGATAACCAACGACTGATTGGTTATATGCGAAATCCAAGGCGTTTTGGTTTAATAAACGAGTTCACGAATTAAATGTTTCGATATACGCCTCTTTACCAAAAAGTCGTCAAAAATGTTTCTTTGATTCAAGAAATGCGTTATCCCTTATCGAGCTGAAGTGGAAGGATGCAGGTTACACATACAATCGTCCATTTATCAACTAGGGCTCCTAAACAATAGATCCAACTTGTCATTATTTTTGTCGACAAATAAAATCATTACCTTTGAAGAGATACCAAAAGCCATTGTTTACTTTGATTTAGTGTAAGGCATATAAAAAATCTTTGCGAATACTTTCGGCAAGGGGTATACGTACCTCGTACCTCGTACGGACACAAGCGTTTCCTTTTTAAGCTTAGGTACCGTATATACAAATATAAATAAATCAATTTAAAAGGAAAAAATTAATTAAGATTTCTATTTGTGGAAAAAAAAAAGGGTCTACAACGTGCGAAACCATGGTTTGGTTTCGAGAAAACATTGCTTCAGGGAATAAATGTTTCGCAAAGAAAATACATATAATGTGTCTATTTGAAGACACTATAATGTCTGTTTCGCAAAGAAAATTTGATTCCGTACGTACAATATGTCTATTTGAAGACACTATAATGTCTATTTTTAAGACAACAGTAATAAACTGCCTCAAAAATTGTACTAGTGGTTTGATATTTATTAAGGTTAAGATTAAGAAACAACCCATGTTTTAATACGCTGAGCATCGAAACACAGCTTGTCCATGCGTAAGATTTTTTCTGAAATGGTGCACTTGGAATATAAATAATTTAGAAAGGTTAACTTCAGTCCTTATTGTTTAGCGTGCCATTTTAGAGATTCGTTTGTTATTATATAAGCTTTAAGTTACAGTCCCCGGCAAAAGTAATGGCGATCAGTTTTTGAGCGTTCGAAAGATAAATATGAATAAAATTTTTCTAATAAAAGCCAAACATTATGGCCACAAATTTTATTAATGGCTTAATATTTGGTATGACCTCCTCAGCATCAATACAAGCTTGAATTCGATTTTCATACTACTAACTATGACATTTTTTTCGAGAGAAAAAATTTTTTTCTGCCACTATTTTTTTAATGCGTTTTTTAATATTATGCTTCAAACCAGCCCAGACATTCTCAATTGGGTTGAGATCTGGACTATAGGAAGGCCAAGGAAGAACCGGCGTGGAAGACGAGACTCCAAGTCGTAGTCGCCCTGAACATCATGGGATGTACTGTATATTATCCTGCTGAAATACCCATTTGTGACCATTCGCATATAAATGTTTGTTGAGGATTTACCGATATAGATGGGGGTTTAAATCCGGACATTGTCGGTTATGGCTTGTGAATATGTGCACCCGATTTTCCTCTTAATGTTAATCGCAGCCCAAACGTAAGCCTTAAATGGATGCTTCACCATAGGTTTGTTTCGCGTGACCATGCACGGGTTGTATTGCAAATTGCAGTTTCGTCAGAAAGACTACTTTATTCCAAGTGATCGAATTAACCAGTGACCGATAAGTTTCTTGCAATAAGATAAGAGATTTTTCATCTTTCATTAAGTAGTCTTCAACTAAAGCAACATGTAGTGTTCGCGTGCATTAGCTGTTGGAGTTGGCTTTATCACAAATTGACTATTGCAAAGGTCTGTTATATATTTTTCGCCGAATGATGGTGAATAACCTTGCGGCAGAGCTCGAAGATGATTCGAGAAATTTGTCAATAGAGTAATATGTTAAGCCAACTTGTATATTGGGATGCGAGCTTCAGAATGTGTTGAGATTTTTTGGCGTATGGTCGTTCAATCATATAATACGAACATTTTCATTGATTTTACCCTTGGAAATAAAGAATTTCCAAGTTTCATTGCATAAACTTTAATGCTTCTCGTTTCATAACCCAATATACGGTAAAGAGAGATACGTAATGCCAAGTATTTGATGTTAAATTGGACGTTAATTCATATCCTTTACATGCACAAATCAGCGAACCGTCACGTGCCAAGTTAAACGGTTAGCTTTCGCTTGCTGGTTTAAAAATAGGCGCTTTACGTGGTAGAACGGAAGTAAAACCAAGTCTATTCAGGTTTCGACGAATAGTACGCTCATTAGCGTCTAACCCTGGGTATTTTGTTTCCGGCATAGCCTTCAATTCATTAGATGTCGTGAAATGTTAATAATCATTCCGACTTGGCAATGCTGTCTTGTTGTGGGCGACCAGCTCGATGTATGTTGGGAATTTCAAAGTATGAAATGTAACATTTACAGGAACGCAAGGAATCCCAGTTTGCATTACGGACGTTTTGCTTCCAAAGAGTCTTACAAGTGTTCATGGTTTGTTTTAATAAGTGTAGGTGCCATTTGAAAATTAAAAACGAGCGCAAAGGCAGTTTATACACGCGTTTTATTGTTTATACTGCCAAATTTGGTGTTAGTAAACAAACGCGTACCTACTACCACCGCCAATTACATTCATCTTTATTAGTTAATCTCCGAATAAAAGCGCTATTATTAACATAGTTTTCTCATTCTGGTAACCAAACGTGATAGGATTACTATTACCGCTATTTTTTTGAGTACAGCTAAATGCTGGCATCCCGATTTTATTGCTATGGATTGTTATTCTAGAGTTTGCAAAATCGCCACATACCTACCTAGAAAAAAGTTATGAATTGCACAAATCGTATGTGTATCACTTGTAAAAGTCAGCGCGATAAATTATTAACAACCAATATATACAAATTAATAAACATCAAAAGTTATAGGGCATCCACCTCTTTACTATTAAAAAATAACTTAACAAAGAACGATCTTGCTATTTGTCTCCGAACTGGCATCAAACGTTATTGACTCACAGAAGTCAAAAAGTTAAAAAATTATTATTAAAAAATGCAATAAAAAAATGTTGAAGAAGGATTCCACTAAATCAATTAGAAGGCATTTTGCATAAAATAGAAATTTTGTTTATGTGCTAACTCGGAAGCCTTTGTTAGTAATGAGCAAGGAGAATGCCTTCAAAAAAGAGATTAGACGGTTCAAAAATGGTAATATGTCATATGGAATAATTATAGCAAAAATTTAACAACGATGGTCCAGGCCGTGTGGAGAGCTGACACAACGTTTGATATTTATAAATATGAAGGTAAATAATCAGCTTGATTGAATATTGATTTGTATAATTACTTCAGTGTTGAGATAGTTAATCAATTTTGGGTGCGCGATACTTTGTATTAAAATCATAACATATTGCATAAACAAATGTTTGGAGAAGACGAAGTTACAGAATAACTTTTAGCCTAAGAAGATACACTATAAAATGTAACAGTTTGTAACGCGAATACAAGTGAAACGACAATGTTGATTCTTATAAAAGAAGAACGACAACAGCAGGGTTTGAACCTGCGCTCCCATAGGGAATCAGATTTCAAGTCTGACGCCTTAACCACTCGGCCATGTTGTCATATACAATAGTATTGGGCGGACTAATTGTATAATAGTCTACTATTTAAGTAAAAACGTTGCGCAGTAGCTGTAGCGTGACAAAAATGTATTATTGGCTGAAAATGAACATACTGACAACTCTCATTGCAAAATTGATAGCATTTATTTATACCGACAGTTACTATGAATAGACCCAAGACACTCGGTTATAAGAGGTATCTTATTTGCGAGCCCAACTTTCTTAATAACTAACTTAAACTACCTCGGTTATTAAGCTTGCTGCGGAAATCAGCCACAGCCACAGTCACATTGCCACAAAAGGCAACTGTCTATGCACGGGCTCGCCCGAACTGTGGTTGCACCCATGGAGGCTAGATAATTTAACTACAAGTCTCTTCAGTTCTAAACATTAGAATTCCTCCCAGACGGTATGAATGCTGTGGGATTTTCTGATTTGCGCCCTCCACCGCCCACTAAAAGGGTTAAGCTAGTATCCACTTGCGATACTTGTAAGAACAGGAAAGTGAAATGTGACAGAGTGAGACCAAAATGCGGTACATGCAAGAAGACGGGTCGTGATTGTGGTTACAAGTATTCGGACACGACACACGAAATGAGAGAAAGTGGAGCCAGATCGCGTGCTGAATTGGAGTATATGAAGGCACAAATGGAAGAGTTGGTGAATGCACAGTTCAATAAAGTCGCTCAAATGCAAAATTGCATTGCCGTTGCCGTTAATGGTACTGGAATGGATATGACCAATGGAGACCAAATAGCAAATATATTTGCTGCACCAGACTTACCGTTGAGAAATAATGATCTGTTCAGGATTCCTGTGAGTATTATATGTTTTCTATGATAAACGTATAATTGGTATACCACTAGTGTTTGACATTATCTATATTTGTTTTATCTTTATCAGGGTGATAGTGCATTATTTCCACAACACTATAGTATTAACCAACATCTTGCAGCGGAAACATTAAACCGCTCCACGGAAATAGCTGCACAGATTGATAGGAGTAAAGAACAATGTCTGGTACGTATTTTTAGAGATTTAAGCGATACTCACAAATTTTATCCTCGTTCGCCCAAGCTGCTCCATTCCGAGTGCCTGAAACAGAGTCGGAATAAATATTTGATAGATCATTAATATGAACGCATAACCAACTTTTTGATAGTACGATCCACATCATGTTCTAAATTACGCGGATTTCGCTGTACTCGCACAACAACAGGTGAAAGAACCTCAGGTAGACCAAGGTCAAACGACAGATCAACAGTTTAATGGCCAGGCCAATAGTAAAATCAGCGTTCAAGGCAACAATCAGAATACCAGCGAAAACGATATGATGGAGGAATTGACTTCGGTTTTCGATGATTTGACTCTGTATCAGTCAACCAGATATATTGGCGAGGGATCGCTTTTGCTCATTGGCAGTACTGACGATAATGGAGAAAAATTTGTTACAGAACCCAATCAGTGCTTAGCTGAAGTTGATGAAGAGGGATTAAGAGCGTTACCTACTTTTCAGACTGCAAAGGAATACGTAGATTTATATTTGAAGGTTAGACGTCTTATTCTGATTTAGAGTTGCTAGAAGTAACAATTGAAATGATGAACGTTATTATGTATTTATTATTTACTTTGTTTTATTTTCTCATTTTGTTCCTACGTATTTCTCATTCACATCATATTATAATGATCTTTGTAGCATGTACACCGATATACTCCATTCCTAAGACCAGTGATTTTCCAAAATGCACTCAACGGTCCATTAAACCCACAACATCTCTTAATCCTCAACTGTATATTCTTTGTTGCAGCTCCATTCCATCATGATCCAGAGAAGAGTGACGGCAGAGTTTATTTTGAGAGAGCAGAAGGTGAGTCAGCAATCTTAATGTAGTGACTGCTATGGATCAAATTTCAAACGACTTACTATTTTTTCAATAGCTTTATTGTATAAATATTGTCGCATTCGGCCGCATGTGCTTACTGTTATGGCCACTGTCTTATTAAGTCATTATAATAAGGATGTGAGTGTAATCTTGATGTAGTCGTTGTTATAACCGAATACTGACAGTTGAATTAACTGATTGATAGGCTGTTGCTAAATGGATGTACAATGGGATTGGTACTAAGATGTTATTTGAGCTTGGGCTGCATAGGAAAATAAGGAACTTCAAACCGAAAATAGGCAAGGAGATTGAGAGATTACGAGACGAAGCATTCTGGATGATATTTATATCAGAAAAGTAGAGTCGCAATTCCTTGCTACATGTCTATGATATTTGTTTATTACGCCCTCTGACTAATATTTCCCCATATATTAGCTTTATCTCAGCAGCTTACGGTCGTCCCAATATGATTGAAGAGTCTGACTGTGATATCGATGTACCACCAATCCCTCGACTAATTAATCCGTTGGACGATGAAACAAGACTTCATATTGCGTTCATACATCTTATTACTCTCAGTCGTCTTTGTGTCAAAGTGCGCAAATACTTACACGCGGCATCAAGACTCAGACCAATGTTTGAGCATGAAGATAAAAATAAATTTAGATTATTGGATTTGTCATTGACTAAATGGCTTCAAGAATTACCACCCTGGCTACAGATAGGTGAATTATCAAAGGATGAAAATAGCACTCTGCTAAATGGTATTGGAGGTATGTATACTAGTGTAACATTCTGATTGTCGTCGCTGTAAAATATTACCCGGTACATGTGAGTGCTTACCTATACGTGTGAAACTCATATTTCATAGGTGACCTGCACCTCTTCTACGGGGTTGTCCTTATCTTACTTCACAGTAGATATTTAAAACCACCTGGTCCGTATTCCATGTATACAATTTATCCTATTGATTCGCCTCAAATATGTACAAATGCTGCGGCGACACTTGTGAATTGGTTACTATACATACTCGAAAAGTCGCCTGATTTCTTTGCACTGGCTATTTGTGGTGTCACTGCTATCAACCCGGCTATGCGCGTATTTAAGTGGAACGAGAAGTATGATCCAAACGAAAGGGTTAGAATAAAGGCAAGGGAAACGATAAGAAAGCTTGAGTATATAAAGCAGCAGACGGATAGCGTTCACAACAAATATGACAGAGGTAGATTTGATGAAGAATTTGGACTCAACATTGAGCAGTCTATTGATGACTCCTTTGGAAGAGTTCAATTGACACTGGAGACAATTGAAGTCGATATTAGTAGGAGAGACTACGAAGTATACGTCAATGACGACGATCTTGAACTTAGGGAACAATATCGGAGGTTAATGTGGGGAAAACGAGTACCGTTACGGAAATCAAGTAGGCAGAGTAGACGTAATAGTAGATCCATGAGTGGCATAGTTTATAATAGCAGTCGGCATGACAGTCAATTCATGATCATGCCAATTTCAGAAACGGACTTACCTAATTTCGTTTTCACGCCGAAAAGACAAATTTCATTCGGAGACTATCAACCTGCTTCTGATAATACCGAGAAACAGCAATATGAAGAAGTTGCCTCAGTGATGTCTGATAGCCAGATATTTGATGAACCAGGACCGATAATTCCACCGGAATACGTGAATCCATTACAGATTGATAACTTTCACATACAAGAACAATATCTACAACAACCAATATCAGTACAGTTATCACGTGATGATATAGAACAATGCGAGTACGAACAGCAACCATCATCACAACCATTATCACCAAAACCATCACCACCACAACAACAACAACCACCACCACCACCACCGATACAGACGACACAACAACAACTGCAAAATCAAAAGACATCACTGCCATCGCCTCCACAACAGCTGTCCAAGCACATCAACCCACTCTCACCGCAACTCGACGAAAAATTGCCAATATTGCCGATGACCCCCCCACATCAACAATATGCTGATGACCTCCCGGGCAACGAAGGCCCAATGCTCTGTTCGCAACCAGACAACCCAGGACGCACTTTCTCAAATTCATCCAATAGGTCTGTTATGCTTACACCTCCTTCGCATCCGCTTGATTATTTCAATTACTTGCCTGAAGGTGAACTTGAGACTGATATTTTGAGTGGAACTAGTAATGATACATAATAGACAGACTTGATAGTGCAAGGACATATATACACATGTAAATCATATCATTAATTTATCTTTTAGTAAATAAATTTGCCACAACATCTATTCCGCCAACTATTCATAGCAAGTGATCTTAATATAATAGGCCAAAAGCTGATTACGAATATTGTTACTAATCACTATATTTACTGCAGCCACTTTCTCATATTTACAGCTTATTCTTCCTTGGCTTTGGTTTATCGTACACAGATTTTGTCAAATAATCAGTAGGCACATAGCTATGATTATACAAATTCCTAATATCCAAGTATTGCGGCCCACATTCACTAATACTTGTTACACCAGATAGACTCATAGCTACTTCCAGCTCGTCCTTAAGCAACTGTAGAGCGCGCTCAACGCCCGGTTGACCGTATGCAGACATGGCATATAACATAGGTCTACCGATCCCAACAGCCTTCGCTCCAAGAGCGATAGCTTTGAAAATGTCCGTGCCCCTGCGAATGCCTCCATCAACATAAATCTCTATTTTATCATATAGGCCTTCTCTCTTCAAAGCCTCAACAACCTCGGGCAGTATTTCAATAGCCGACCTTGCAAAGTCAAGCTGCCTTCCACCGTGATTAGAAAGTACTATGCCCTCCACTCCAAACTTGGCAGCTATCACCGCATCCTCAACTGTCTGGATACCTTTTAGCACCAAAGGCATTGACGTGATTGATCTAAACCATTTCAGATCAGCCCACTTGAGTCTGGGATCAATGAAACCATTGATGGCTCTAGCAGCGCCTTGATCACGACGAATATCCCCTTCTTCCTGTAAATCAGGCGGGGCCTCAACATATTTCTCACGCATGTCCTTTTCACGACGACCTAATTGAGGTGCATCTACAGTAATGAACAGAGCTTTACAACCCTTGGCCTCGGCCGCACGGACTACGCGCTCTGTTATGCTTCTATCCGGGTTTACGTATAACTGATAGAACTGCACTTGTCCTTCACCACGCGCATTAATCATTTCATCAAGGGAGCAAGAAGCAAGTGTTGGTATCATTTGGATAATTTTATGAGTATAGGCAGCACGCGTGAGAACAACTTCACCTTCAGGATGACCTAATTTGCCAAGAGCAGTTGCTGTTATATACAAAGGAAACGACGAATAATGACCTAGTATAGTAGTGCTAACGTCAATTTTTGCAACGTCAATTAATACTCTCGGTTTTAGCCAGATGCGACGAAACGCTTCATGGTTTTCCCTCAATGTAACCTCGTCATCAGCTCCTGAGCTGAAGTAAGCCCAAGCTTCCTTGGTAAGGGTTTGAGAAGCAACAGCTTCAAAATCAAACAGATTCAACATTTCATCCAGATTAGGTCTTTTTTCCATGACCTGACGCCGTCTGTCCTTCTCACTATCGGCCTCTGCAGCCTTTGTGAGACTTGTTGGATCGACTCTCCCGAGACACATCTCAGGGGGTAAATACTGTTGAATGATATCTCTAGGATGCACTGGATCAAATGCAGCAGTAGCATCCTTTCCTGCTTGCTTTAAAATAACATTCACTCCGCCTGGATGTTCGGGTAGGAAATTGGTTAGATCATATACGTTTTCGTGAATAATAACCCAGCAGTCTTTGCGGTTATTATGTTTTGCGACCTCTTCAGCTGAGATAAGATTTACCATTATGCTAAACGTAGTTGTTTGATCATGAAAATGATTAAATAACTCTGTCATAGCTCGCTTCTGATTGGACAATTGCATTGGCGTGATCGGAAAGAGCAACAAAATCAGCTTGCTGAACCCGCAATTCCCAAACGGGAGAAGATCAATGGTTTATTTTTTGATGTAACTAATTCAATTTCTGTAAGCGTCATTTTATTGTTTTTATTGTGGAATTAGAAAATAATGAAACACCAAAATGTGCAATCAATGTCATTTGTCATTTTCTAGTTGCAATAGCTTATATGTTATAATTGTCAAAAAATGTCGTAACAAGCATTGTAAAACGAACTAAAGTGAGAAATAATTATGAAGCTCGTGCTTACAGTCGCAAATAGACGTTATCATTATATGATGTTGTTGACCTTTCTTTTTATATAGTATGCATGTGCCACGTTTACGTCCGTATTAGTATGGTCGAATAAACATGGCTCGAAATAAATAGGCTTTGTATTAGAGAAAACAATTTTGACATTTTCGAGGATCATTCGGAAGAATGACAGAACAGACGATGCAAAACAAATCAAAAACGTTGTATGTGGCTTCCAATAAATGCGCAGTTCACAAGCAAGCAAGTCCGTAACATTCTCCATTGTTTCACTATGCCAAAAAAATGTCTCAAGATGAAAGAAGCAAATTCATTAAAGGACATGAACTCAAATTAATTCGATCAACTTTCTTAAACCGGAAATTCAAGTGCACTTATTATCATAATATAATCTGTTCGACCTGCAACATTTAATGTCGAGTTTTACTTTATTCGAAATTTGACTAGCAAAACTGAATCAAACGCAAGTCCTCATTATGATTTCAAAGCGTGTTATTGGGTACATAACATATAATGTGATTGATAATAATCTGCAGAGCAAATTTCGGACTGTTTGGTTTTTATGTTTAGACCATAATTGTTGCAAATAATACAGTAATCTTTGGAGTTTTGCGTTCTTTATTTGTTTACACCTACGATTGAACACTAAAGGCGTATGGCACTGTAATCTTTGGATGATTGCATTAGAGACTAGGTAGGTTACTTTATTTATTATTCTTTCTTTATGGGACCTAGTCAACCACTCAAGGGATTAAGTTCCATAGGTCATGAATTTGAGCTTACTGAAAAAGAAGATATTGTCTCAGTTTTGCAATGAGATCAAATGTTTAAACCTTCAGTCAGATAGACAAAGGCTTGAGGTTGTATATTAGTTGTATTGTTATGGTACCACTAAGACAGGCTCTTTTTTTTTAGTAAAAACTACAGTAGCAAAAAGTAGGTTAGTAGTTTGGGGGAATTGACAATTCAAGGCTATATATTGATATTTTCTAAATGTCTTTTAATTTCAGTAGTTTCAGTAGTCTGCTGTATTTGTATCTTTTTTGTACTTTCAGTCAGTCTTTAATACTACTTTATTGGTAGTTTTGGTAATAGTATACATAGAATATAAATAATAAATAAGCTCATCCCATTAAAATGGGATTCACATCATGAGTGACAGTCATTCAAGAGTGAAGACCTGTCAACTATATCAATATTTGACTGTCCATACCAACTGTTTAATCATTCACTATTTACATAAATATAAACTAGCAAAGCCTGGAGTTCCAACAACTTCTAATTTTATCCCTGATACTGATATATAGTAATTAATTTACCAGCTGCTCAACATTTAATAAAAATTTCCCTATTTCTTTTTGATTGATACATTTTTTTATAACCTTGCTTCTTAACTCAAATATCATTAAATGTTAAGATAAATCAAACTTTGTGCCCTAATGTATTGTTCTTCAGCTGCTTTTTGATATAGCTTAGTTGCTTTATATTCATTTTTTTCCACTCCAGTTCCATATTTATAACACCAACCAAGATTATTTTGTGCATCAATATCTCCTCTTTCAGCTGCCTTTTGGTACCATTCAACTGCTTTTTGTTCATTTTTTTCCACTCCAACTCCATATTGATAACAGCAACCAAGATTATTTTGTGCACTGGTGTGTCCTTGTTCAGCAGCTTTTTGATACCATTCAACTGCTCTTTGTTCATATCTTTCCACTCTAATCATAATTTTGCAATCATAATATTCAGCAAAATTATATTGTGCAATAGCATGACCTTGTTTAGCTGCCATTAGATACCAGTCAAGTGCCATTTGTTCATCTTTTCTTATTCCAGTTCCATATTGATAACAATGAGCAAGACTATATTGAGCACTAGTATTTCCTTGCCTAGCTGCTTTTCTATACAATTCAATTGCCCTTTGTTCATCTTTTTTTACTCCATTTCCAAACTGATAATGAAAACCAAGATTATATTGTGCAACAGCAATGCCTTTTTCAGCTGTTTTTTGATACAATTCAATTGCCTTTTGTCTATCTTTTTTTACTCCAATTCCACTACCATAACAGCAAGCAAGATCTAACTGTGCTCCAGTGTGATCTTGTTTAGCTGCTCTTTGATACCATTCAACTGCCTTTTGTTCATCCTTTTCTACTCCAAATCCATGTAGATACTTTAAGCCAAGGTTATACTGTGCTTTAGTATGTCCTTGTTCAGCAGCTTTTTGATACCATTCAATTGCTGTTTGTTCATCTTTTTCTACTCCAGTTCCATGCTGATAACACCAACCAAGATTAAACTGAGCACTAACATGTCCTTTTTTAGCTGCTTTTTGATACCATACAACTGCCTCTTGTTTGTCTCTTTCTACACCAGTTCCATTATCAAAACAGCAAGCAAGATTATATTGTGCACTAGTATGTCCTCGTCTGGCTGCTTTTTGATACCATTCAGCTGCCTTTGATCTACTGCTTCTTCTTACTCCAGTTCCGTGCTGATAACAGCAACCAAGACTATATTGTGCACTAGCATTTCCTTGGTTAGCTGCTTTTTGATACCATCCAACTGCCTTTCGTTCATCTTTCTTTGTTCCAGTTCCATATTGATAACACCAACCAAGATTATATTGTGCACTAGCATGTCCTTGTTCAGCTGCTTTTTGATACCATTTAACTGCCTTTTGTTCATCTTTTTCTACTCCAGTTCCATCCTCATAACAGCAAGCAAGATTAAATTGAGCAGTTACATATCCTTGTTTAGCAGCTTTTTGATACCATTCAACTGCCTTTTGTTCATCTTTTTCTGTTCCAGTTCCATGCTGATAAGAATAACCAAGATTATATTGTGCATCAATATTTCCTTGTTCAGCAGCTTTTTGATACCATTCAACTGCCTTTTGTTCATCTTTTTCTATTCCAGTTCCATTATCATAACAGCAAGCAAGATTAAATTGAGCATTAACATATCCTT